ATCCACAGTCTACCGCAAAAGCTCCCCAAACAATCCCGCTTTATTTCTGAGATATAACGCTCTCCATTTCCCCTATTGTGGGCAATTTTAGATATTCAGGACTCTGTCCGATTCTGTCACAGTTTTCCAGCAAAGATCGACTTTCACGATCCTCATTTCAGACGACGAAGACATTAGGGCCCCCGCCTAAGTTTTACCAGGACGCCCTCGGCAGACTTCTACCATTTAATTACAGTTTTAAGTGAGACTACTGTAGCATATAGTTTACCCTTCAGTTCTGGAGCGTAGCTGGCGTAACTCGATGGCGGTTGTATTTGTAGACGAATGTTCTAATTCTGAGAACGATTTTGCGTGACTTTGATTTGGTTTTATTTCTTCAGACCTCCCTCCTCTCTAAACCCCGTCTGCAAAACTTATTATCAATGGAACTGGCTTACCACCCCAACAATGCCTTCCTCTACTACGTCGACCCCGTGAGTTCATATACAACCTTTCTATGTTTTTATGCATCACCCCTGTTCGTGGATTAGCATCTGCATGCGGAACAGTTGTAATTTACTGAGTTGGGTAAGGCTTGATTACTGGCGGAGAATCGTAGGTTAATAGGGTCCAGTAATTACAAAAGGTAGTTAAGGACTGATTAGTAGCCCATTCGGTGTATTTTATGGGGACTTCCGGTTTTCAAATAGTCTCATAGTTAAGCTAGATGCTACATCACTCGGAATGGGTATTTATCATAGCATGAGTTTATGAAGACTGTCCAATTGGTTCACCAAGCCTTACTTCGGGATGGGGCAAATTAACAATTGAGACGGCCTAATCTACCCGGCTTCAACCATGGTGCATACAGTGTCCTCTCGCACAACACAACCTGCGGAGATGAGTGTAATGTGCTCAGCCGGCTCAGTCTTCGACTAAACTCTTCACTCGTGACGTAATAGATAGGGTATGGGCCCTCTTAAAACCATCTCGGCTGTCTTTCTTTGATAACACGAAGTGACTTTGAAATGTTCTCGAAGGGATTTCGGACCGTCGCCGCATCGACGCGTTTTGACTTGTTGGACGGAGGAGGGGGCTTGTTTTTCCCATTGGTGATGAAAAGGGCCTTTCGGGGGCAGTTATCACGTCCTGGCCTCCGTTCTCCATGGCGAATAATATTCAGAGTTGGTCAGACGATGAAGGTAAAGAGAAGGGGGATTCCTGATCAGTAGTTAGCACCCAGCAACATGTTATCGCATTTGCAGACTCAAATGGTTTTACTTGAGCCCCCTAAATGACGAGTTTCCGTTTGCAACCATAGACTGGGTACGACAGCCACTATCTATCCTAGCCTTCTTTTAGCCTTTGTGTACTCGTATTTGCTCTACTGTAGGATCCACAGTCCGCATGTCAGATCCAGCCGTAGCTCTGGCGACTAGAGGTTTCTGACCATTCTTATCAGCTCTAGAATCTTCGAATGATCTGGTCCCCCGTGTACCCGCATTGGTTTACAGTCAGTTGGGAATCCATGAAGCGACTCGTGTATTGGATTTCTTTTTCCGATTCTAACTGAGCCCATCTTCAACGGAACTGGCACGAGCAAGAAAGAAAGACCCGAATTTTCGAAACATCTTCAGATTCATTGCTTCACTTCTGAACTTTCCGTATTTCGATTATACCGTCAGGATTCTAAGGTACTTCGACCTCAACACCTCCAAGTGGGTATTTCGGGCCTACCAGCATAGGCAGCTGGGGGTAGTTCATGGACTTTCTCCTTTGCCCGCTCCGCACGAGTTCGACACCGTTGCCCTAGAGAAGACATCCCTGCTCACCCGAAAGTGGTTATCAGCTGGGGTCTATATCTGGTTTGACACGGTTCATCGACACACGCAGGTTCTTGTAACCTCAGTATTCAGTCTCTGTCACCGGAGAAGAAGGTAAGTCGAACCCCCTG